AACTTCATTTAGTTCTTCTACTGTGCTTCAAATCAAGGGAAAAAACTAGACTTTTTTTCATTTCCCTCTACTATACTTCGAATTTGGTGAGCTCTGGTTTTGAATGAGTACTGCCCTTTAAATTATAACTTATATCGTCGCGATATTATAAATATAATTTTTACGTATTATTAACTTCCTTAAAAAAATTTGTTTGTTTTTTTCCCTTCTTTTTTTCGACTAACAATCTTTAGGAACTTTTTTTCGGCTTCTTGAGTGCACTTCTCTCTATTTTAGACCGATATTGTCTGGAATCGTGAAATAACATCAAAACTGGACTTTTTGCATTTCCCTTAACTATATTCCGTATTTTGAGAACTAATCAGTCCTTTGCATGGTAAGAATAAAGTAAAAGATTCGTAGAATGTATTTATTTTTAATCTATTATTAACTGTCTTCATGAGGAATCCGTACATATATTATTAGAGTAAGGCTCGAAATCGGTTTTGTACCAAATATGGGCTACTGTTATGCTCAAATACCGCGAATGGGGTACCGTTGGATTCAGAATTTCACGGGGGGTTAGCGAATCGTATTCCCCACTTTTGTTTTTCTTTCTAAAATAAATAAATTCGATACAAACATTTTGCTAGGCTTCAGTAAGGGAACGGTGGTAGGTCTGTAGAACGATACGGGACAAATTGGATCTTAAAGATTTTGATGCGTACAGCAAGACCCGAATAGTTCCTCCGGAACTATCGGATCCTGAGTTTTTAAGCGGAAAAACGTACTATTTTCGAGATAACGCAAGGCATAGGGTTCGCATCCACTCAACCTTACATTAATTGTAGTACTATCATTGAATACATGTCTCATTTCGTCGATTTGAGGTCTCTATGATCGAGAGAGAGGGAGTTTATATTATTCATCGATGGTGTTTTTGATCGGCAAGCCATATCATCGTTAATTTTTCACCAAATCTCAAGATTGAGACACGAATTTCGAAGGATTCCTTCTCCTTCAGGCTGGAAATATAGTCCAATCATCCAGAAAATTTAGGCAAACAAGTTATGAAAGAAAATAAACTTTATTTGCGAATAACTAAAAAATTGCACGCTTTTCCCTTGGTTAATCCCATGATTATATAAAATATTACTAAATTGTTTACAAAAGGATAAAAGAATATCATCGCAATCAGACAATTTTTAGCAAATATACATCTTACTGAAATTTGTATACATGTTGGTTCCAAACAAAAATGAAGATTTAAATTAATTTTTGTTTGCTTTGTGGATTATATTTATCGATAAAGTAACATTTGATGTCTTAATCTTTTGATAAGTTGCATTTTCTTATTAATTTGGCATTTGATAACAATATCCTGGGCGAATTTTTCGCACGGGCCTACTAGTTATTAATAATTCATGCACTGCTGAATTTTGTATGTTTAAATTTTTTTTTATTACCATTGTTCTGTATGATAGTTGAGATCATATCTGCCTATAATTTTCAGTTTAACATTTGTTTACCTTTCATTAACAACTTTAGAATATTTTTCTTCGGCCTCTTGAATTTCAATTTTTTTTTTCTATGCATATGACATATTTTGTGTCGAAACTACTTATTTCAGAGTAATCTTTCCTTCAATAATTTTTCTTAATTGACGTAATGACATTAAAAGAATCAACCATAATATTAAACTTGTTATATATTTTATCATACTATTACTAGCCTTATTTCTAAGGACATTTTTCGAAAGTGAAATATTCGTAGCCTCATTTACTATTTTTAATGTAATATGGTAATATTAGTTAGTCGTATCGTAATTTATTTATTTCCAACCCTGATTTCCGCATTAAAATGATAGTAGACCATTCTGTCTCGGGCCTTATCACCAACTTAATCCTCTTCTGTTTCAGATCTCTATGTGAGTAAAGGTACATCCGTTTAATGCCTTTTGCTAAACATCTTGTTTATTGCTGAGTCAGTAATAGGATTATATGTTTGAACAATTGTTATACATATAAGTACTTAATCCTTTCCCAACTAGTATTTATCTTCTGACATATATACTGTCAGAAGATAAATACATGGGATAATACACTACATTTCCTACGGTGACTTCACTAAACCATCTTCTTTCCTGTTTAAACTGTGGAGAGTTTTCTCAAACTGTAAGTAATATTTGTAATTAATATTAAATAATTTTTTAAGTAATAATTTGTGTGTACTTTTTAAACACATATATCTTATTATTTTTCATTTATTGAATATATCTATTTATCTCACATGAATATCATATACTGGAATACAATTTTATGTAAATATAAGCTTATTTTGTTAAGTACTTATGTTAGTACCACAGGCGGATTTACGGGGAGGGGGGAGGGGCTTTCGGGCTAAAGCGCCCCAAAATGGTCAAATGTAACTATGTTTTATAGTAAAAAATATTAAAAAATTATGTCTTAAAGTATTATTGCTCGTTTAATTACATTTCATAGGACTTCAAGAATCACTTGAACACCATTTCATATAGGTAGTTAATATCTTTCTGTTCTTCCAAAGTAATTATCGTTATATGTATGAAAAAAAAAAGCTTCCGGGCCGAAGCCCCCCCAAAATTAAATCCTTGATCCGCTAGTGTCATGGGCGGATCTAGGGGGTGGGGATTTCGGGCTGAAGCCCCCCCCAAAATTAAATCCTGGATCCGATAGTGCCACGGGCGGATCCTGGGGGGGATATTGGGCTGAAGCCCCCAAAATGGTAAAATTTAACCATGTTTTATGGAGAAAAAAAATTTAAAAATACCTCTTAAAGGATTATTGTTCGTGTAATTACATTTAAAAGGATTTAAGGAATCCCTTAAATACCATTTCATATAGGTAGTTAGTTTCTTTCTGTTTTTCCAAAGTAATTATAGTTATTTTTATGAAAAAAAGCTTTCGGACTGTGGCCTCCCCTAAAAATTAAATCCTGGATCCTTTATTTTATTTATTTTTATATGTTTTATTATTTATGCTTTTTTTATATGTTTTAAGTTTATTTTATTCTAGTGGTTAATACTGAACTTAAGAGTAATTATAGTATTCAATCTTTGAACTGGTGTTGTTGGCTTCAGTTCGGATTTTGTTTTGCCAAGTTCAATAATTGAGAAAGGGGAGCGTTGTATAAATCATTTCTTTTTATTAGAAAACTGAAATGTGAGGTTGGCGATAAACCTTCAAAATTATTTGTACTGTTCGAAAAGTAATCTACAAAGGATACGGCTATTGTTTCAGGATTTGGATTTTATTATTTATTTTAATTATTATTATATTAGAATTCTGGAGGCCTATGATGGAGTTTATTTTATTCTATACATTTCTAATTCAGGAAGTTTTATTGGCTTTGCATTTTTTGTATTCAAGGAAATTAATTTGGAATGGAATTGTTTTTAAAAGACGGGCGGCATTCATCATCAAGCCAGAAGCAATGATTCGTTTTATGACTACCTCGATATTTTGGTATACTTTCTTCTTCATATACTGGTATACTGTCTCCTTTTGTGAACTCGGAAGTCATAACGTCAATATTTTCTGTGGAATTTCGAAATTTGATCCACCTTGGGCATAGGTGGAGAACCGCGGCCTCAGAGGCCGCATGTGGGCTCTGTGACACATTTGGAGGTCACATGCGGCTTCAAACGTTTTCGCGTGATATTTGTTTATCCAGTGTTAGAAGTAATTAATATTTAATTATTTAGGTAACGATAATTTGTAAAATAATAGAATTAAGTTGAATGTAAGTATGTGGGTGAATGTATTTAATGATAAATAAATATAATAACCGTAAAATATATCGAATTATCGCCGCCTCCATTAGCACTTCCTAATCTTACTGAGGCTTCTAATGTAATTCCTCATGTAGCTGACTCGCAAAAGATATGATTAGGGAAGAATGGTCGTTACCATGTCGGTATTGGCAAACATTCCATACAACTTTATATAAAATACTGGTGTACGAAATTTTTTGTCCATGGATGAAAGGGTTTAAGAGGTAGGGAGGCCGAACGGGCTAGCGAGTGTACACAGCGCTGTGCGTTGTCGGACAACCTAATAATCGAAGTTTAAGAAAAAAGATTACTAGTTCAAATCGCGGTGCCTAGTGGGGCTTTTAACTCGACATAATTCCCCCGCCCTTTCCCTCGACCAGGGAAAAATCGTGTAGTCTAAAAGACAAGGTAAGGAAAAGACAAGATTAAAAAGAAAAAAAAATGGAAGTGTACTGCACCGTGGGCTTATATAAGCAATTTTCCCACTGTCCCAGTATTTAACGGTAATTAATAGTTTTCGAAATTATGAAGGGAGAAACTTTGTTTAAGCTCTCTTCATCTGTTCTCTCAATGATCATAAATTGATTTTAGTTCGTACTCACTAGTGAATTAAAATTTTACTGTTGATTGTAAAGTTTATGCTCAAATTTAGACGAAGATATATCAGGAGTCTATTTCATTTTTGAGCTTTTCCAATTATTTTATAAAGTCTTAATTAAATAAAATGAAATTATATATGTAATTAACGAAATAAATGAAAACAGAAAAGAAATAAATATACACATGTAGATATAAAGAAAAGTAAATTGTAAGCACTTAAAAGAACTTAACTTATTGAAAGAGTATTAGATGGTTCTTATCTGAAGCAATCCACTGCTGATCCTATTCGCACTCAACCGATGTCCAAAAACAACTCCTTTATCATTTTATGCACCTTCTGTTGAGAAAAATAAGAAGAAAATAAATCAAAATTAGTCCACTCCGTATATAAACAAAATTTAGTCAAGACAAATTTGTCTCTTTAATTACAGTATTGCCTGTATATTTAAAGGATGAAATTACTAAATTAGACAGAAAAGAATGTCTCTTATGTTTCGGTAATTTATTTATGTTTACTTGAATTTAATTATATACTTTTCCTTTAATTATTCTTTTCAATATATTTCATGGCAAGCATTTTTTTTTTTTAATTTAATAGAAGTCAGGCCTATTAAAATGACCTGAGGACACTCCAAGACCTGAGGACATTTGGAGTCCGAAGGTGGAGAGGAGCTGCTGGGTAAGGATGAATGACGGAGAATTGTGGTGGAGGCCAGGGTTCTGCAAGGACCGTACACTATCTAGTAAAAATTACTACACTCGGTATATAAACAAAATTTAGTGAAGACAAATATGAAATAAAACAAATAACAAATGAAACATTCGCGTATTTATAAATATTTATATCCTAAGTAGCGTTATTTATTTAAATGAAAAAGATAAATTAAAAATACCATTTAATTTAAGTAATACCGAATTGCAACATTGTACGAACCAAATTTTTGAGGCCGTTATGGCGGAAAATTAGAATATTTTTCTTTACTCACGATACCCCCTGTAAAGAATGTATCTTATGTTTCGGTTACTCATTTATGTTTACTTGAATTTAATTATTTACTTTTCCTTTATTTATTCTTCTCAAGAATATATATTTCTTGGCAAGCAATTTTTAAAAAGTTAATAGTAGTCAATCCAATTAAAATGACCTCAGGACACTCCAAGACCTGAGGACATTTGGAGTCCGAAGGTGGAGAAAAGCTGCTGTATAAGGATGAATGGCGGAGAATTGTGGTGGAGGCCATGTTTCTGTAACGACCGTAGCGCCATCGAAAGAAAGTAGAAGAAGAATATTAGTCAAGCATAGCATTATTGTATGTACTTAGTTCATTCATCTAAGTACTCCTTTTTTTGGGTGGGGGGAGGAGGAAATGTAAGTAGCTTTGAGCAGTTCGAAGAATAAATTTCACTTATATCAGCTAACTGATTGGATTCATGACATTTGTCTACGCGATTGACAACAATTTGGTTGTGAGATGTTAGAAAAGAACGATTAGAGGAAGGATGTTTTAAAAAATTGTGATGCAAAAGGATATGGTATGGAAGATGTGTGCTGGAGATTGTTCGTGTTAACGTTACATGTTTGGGTTCATAAAATCCTCCGTTCGTTAACAACCAAGTTAGTATCTTAGTGGATATATTCTATGTCGGTAAGGTTGGTAGATTGAAAATGAGTGTTAAAATTTGGGCCGAGACAGAAAATATGGTTAAGGTCAGACTGAAGTTCGAAAGAAGAAGTATTGTGAATTCATTCCATATTACCAAAGGACAAAACATTTTTTAATCGGAAGATATTTGAAGTTCGGAGATTTTTTTCGTGGGAGACGTGTTCGTCATACCATTCTTATTAATATTTTAAGAAATATTGATTTTTATTGTTTTATTGATTTCATAAGGAAAATAATTTCTTTGATGTAAAGGGTAAGGGTGTTATTTCTAATGCTTGTCTTGTCGTTTGTCAAACCTATAATAGTTACTTCAGCCGATTTTGATTCTTTGTAACCAATACTAAAGTCCCAGTAATATGTCTGTCTGATCATTCCAAATTTGTTTTTCTGCCATACAATAAATCAAGAACTTATGTTGTACTCATCTTTGATTTTGTAAACTATTTATGATGGCTGATCCAAAATCATGATCATTTATTCTGATATTTGGAACTAGCAGTTTTAAATCTCCTAATCCAAAAGTTCCTGAAACTCTCGTGTTTGCATTATTTGTTTCTAGTATGACATCATGTAATCTTTTCTTTTGAGTGCTTTTATTACTCAATATGACCTCTTCAATGCTTATCGCGCCGTTTACCAAATCCATAATAGGTATCTCAGTCGAGTTTGTTTGTTTGTAGCCAATACTAAAATATTCCAGTAACATGTCTGTCTGATCATTACAAATTTGTTTTTCTGCCATATAACTCCAGCATTCCTTAAAAATAATAATGAGAAAATATAAATTTTGGTTCTGATTATCAGTTGAATTAATTTCGTCTTTGTCCAGCCGATCTTTAATATGAACCGGCAATCCGACAAATATATGATCGATTCTTTATCGGACTGTCTGATGTCTTCTTCTAGATCTAACATCAGTTTTTTTTTTTAGCATAAAACATAAAGGAACCACTCGGAAAATGAAAACTATAACATACTGTCTATCAACTTTTGTCAGCATAAGTCGTTATAAATGAATACCGCAATCTATTTACTCACTCCGTATGGTTAACTTCATAAACTTAGCATTGTACCATTAGATAGCAATTCCTCTAAAAATATATGTAAAAGTTTTTTTGTTTTTTTTTTGTCATCATTTTTCACATTACGAGGCTCACATTCTTGTTCATATCTCAATAACCAGCCAGCTGAATTTTGATGTTTACCCTGTTTGTTAATAAGTAAATTTGTTAATAAGAAACAATGATAAATTCAAATCCTTCTTTTCAAGTTATATGTTTGATAAATTGGAGTTGATCTGCTTGGTTGGTAGTAGTGTTGCCCAAAATCGGTCTTGGTCTTGCACTTTGCAAAACCAAGACCAGGTGTTAAAAAAAATCGATTGTTTGAATAAAAATTAAAAGCAAAATAGTTATTAATGCTTGACAATCTTAATTACTATATGTAAATAATTGGTATAACTTTTACATACCAATATCATATGTATACATATGACCAATATACATACATAACCAATATACTTTTACATTTAACTCCTTTAATTTTTCATTAGGGCTTAGTTAAGTATTTCGCTGCCGCGGTCCACGACAGCGACCGCTACCAATCGCTGTTGGCGTAGCTATTTCACTGAAACTGCTCACTGGGGTTGTTATAACCTGCCTATAAACTTCGAACATTTCGCTGTATCTTCGAAGATAAAAAGATGGACATCCTATAATAATAAAAATGAACATCCTATAATCCTATAATAATGAACATCTCTGACTACCGCTTTTTTATTTGAGAAGAAAAAGAAGAGAAAATGTTGTTCATAAAGAGAAGAGATATCAGTATTTCGATGAGATGCTCATCATCAAATCCCTTCTTGAACATTGTTTGCTATTGTCTAGATGAACAACCAAAAAAGAACAAAAAGGCGGGAAACGCCGTACTAACAACAATAGTGCCCCTGATATTAGATATTTTAAGTTTGAAAAGTAATACATGATTGATTAGTAATAAATATCATATATTTGTAATTAAATCCCAGCAGTCGATGTTTTATAGTTTTATCAATAGTAATCAGTAAATCACCACTTTAATTAAAAAATACAAATCGATTTTTCAATGAGTGGATTTTAGTATTTACCTGGCGATAAAATTTGTTGGATTCTTTAATTTATTTAATATCGTTTGGATTTAGGTATATTTGTATTTCGCTGTAAAATATTGCTGGTAGAATAAATTAATAAATAATCTTGTAACTTCAAGCTTAAAAAAATAATTTATTATTGCATTGTTTCAGTTTTAAACAAAATTTGTTATAATTTTGCCAGTCTTGAAAGAAACATAGGAAATAAAACGTGACTGTTATCATCAAAACAATGCTCTGATATGATAACATAACCTTTAACCGCCGAATCGCCAACAGCTTCACTGCTTCAGGAGTGGTCAGAGAGGAGCAGCTTAGATATGACGTCATACCTAGACTGCCGAGCAGCGCCAGCGAAATAGATTCCTTTCTATTCCACTAAAGCAGTGGTCAACCGAGAGCAGTCGCGGTCGTGGAGCGCGCCAGCGAAATGGTACCTTTAGGTTTCTCCTATCTAAAAAATTAGAGTAATATCTCTATATTAATAAGCTAATAAGTGATTGAAAGACTGTTGCAAGACTCTTGCGCTAGACCAAGACTGAGTTTGCAAGACCAAGACTCGTCTCGGTCTCGCATTTTGGCAACACTAATTGGTGGACAGTTTAGGTGACGGTAGAAACGGGACTTCTATGTTATTGTACATTTTATTCGATTGATCATTCTATATTTGTTTTGTGAATTATCTTTGAATGTTCTATTATTTATGTTAGTCTTGAAAATTGAGTTTTTACTCCACGATTTTGCATATTCTTAGTTTTTCTCTACACCTTTTTCGGATTTTTACTGCACGAATATTATGTCTCTAGGTGACGGTAAGATACCTACCTTGCTCCTCTATTTCCACCTACTCTTCTAAAAAAAAAGAGTTAGAGTAACCATCACATTTCTATATTGACCACTTCATGTTTAATTCTTGCAAGCACTTTTAATAATACTTACTTGAATTAATTGTTTATGATGCTTTTCACCATTCAGGTGTCTTATTAAATGTTTTATTGTCAGTACCAATGTAAAGACTATAAAAACCGTGTTTTGTGTTTTAGATATGTATAGTTTCATGATTTAATGTATTATTTAATCTAAAACTTTGATAATTAAACGATTGGATGAAGCATCATAGTTTTTGTGGTTTTCGAAAAAAAAAAAAGGGATGAGCCTTGGTACCAATTTGTAGGGAAAAAAAAAAAATTTCGATTGCTATTAAAATTCGTATTTCAGTGCTTTTCAAGATGCGAAATTCAAATCTCAACTCCGTTTCTCCTTCAAAATTCTTTGAATCGACTATGCTCCTTCCTCCTGGAAAAAAAAAATCAGTTTCTTTTCCTACATAACGTTTTCCTGAAATTTCGGAAAGATGGGAATCTAATTTCCATCACATTTCCTTACGTTTGATACCTCATTCATCAAAATCCGTCGCTCCTGAGAGGTGGAAAATGAGTCTTATAATTAGGGATATTCAGTGACATGCAAAAAAATGTCGTATCATATATAAAGATTTTGCAATGTTAAAAAAAAATATATTGACTAATGGTCCGGGTTGGCTGCCATAAAAAGACGAAAATAGTAAAATAAATATTTTATTTAAAGTAGACGTTTCGACCCGACTTATCAACAATATATTCAAATTTTAGATATTGTATCGTATGTTAGACCAAAGCGAAGGCTGGAAGATCGCGTTAAAGCAGATCTGAAGGGATTGGGTTTGGACGATGAACGGTGGACGGAGATGTGTAATAAGGGATTGGTGGTGTCAGCGTCGAACCTTCGGGTTCGCTAAGTTTTTTATTATTATTATAAATATAGTGATTTTTCATTCAGGTACTTTTGTCAAGTTTAATTTAAATTGAGACTCCTGAAAGCAAATGGACATAGGTAACAAAAACTAAGTTTTGAGCAAATAATTGTGAAGTTTAAACCTTTCCTGTAATTGCAATAATTTTTTTACACTGATTATTTTTATTAAGTCTTTTAGTATTTATAAAGTGCTCTCTGACTGGGAAATTCACACCTCCCAGAAATTTAAACTTTTTTTTTTTTTGTTTATTTAATGGAATTTACAACTGTATACAAATACAACTAGTAAATATGCGCAAATATAAATAATGGCATGTGCAGGCTTGAAGAGTTACTACCCAGTGGTAGCACTCTCTAAATAATTTTAAGTAAGAAGATCAACGAGGCCATCTCCTTTTCAGACGCCTAGGAGGATTATCAGGAATCGAGGAAGAAGCAAGAGTGGAAACAAGCGGATTTGGATGGGACTGAAGTTTATCATGAAAGGATAGATATCTGGCTCGAGCTAAATCAGCGACATATGATACATTAAGGTCTTTATGAATGGTTTTATTTGTGACAAAGTATGGAGCATTAAGGATTTTACGGAGGATTTTTGATTGTAAGGATTGGATACGATAGGAATTCGATGGTTTGGTGGAGCCCCAAAGCT